GATTTTTTAACAATTTATTTGTGAATTACTGTGTCAAATAAGTATTTGATCACTTGATTCAAAAAAAAAAATTGATATTTGGTACAGAAGCCTTTGTTAACAATTACAGAGGTCAAACGGTTCCTGTAGTTCTTCACCAGGTTTGCACACACTGCAGGAGGGATTTTGGCCCACTCCTCCATACAGATCTTCTTTAGATCTGTCAGGTTTTGGGGCTGTCGCTGAGCAACACGGAGTTTTAGTTTCAGTTTTCTATTGGATTTAGGTCTGGAGACTGGCTAGTACAAAATAAACAAGAACTTCTTAGTGTAGTGTTTACGGAGGATACAATGAACTTCGGAGGAAAAATATTCCCGTCTTTCCTTTACATGTAGTTTTGTACTTTTGACAGAACATTGTTTTTACCATTTATGTTGTTATTGTTAGACATTTCTTAACGTGTGTGTGTGTATGTATAAAACATACTGCAATGTAATCTTTTAAACAAACAGCAGTAATCAATTGTGTCTATTACTATTACATGTATAATTTGCAGGGTTTGTTTGAGAAAATAAAAAGGTGTCTTGGTCCTTCGGCAAACCTTCGGCTCTCCGTAGTGTTACTTAAATTTTTGCTCTTGTGCGATTGAGTCTTTCTGTCATGTGTGTACCTAAATGATGGGAATAATCGCATCTCGAGTAATGTACGTCTGTCATAAGGCATTGCTCAGGGAACGCACTTTGGTAAAGGAACAACTTCGCTAAGATATACCTTCAGAGTCTTCGCAACACCAACAGACAACGTTTTTGGGAAACGCACCAAATCTTTTTTTTTAGAAGATTTTAATCAAAGCAAAATTACCACAGTCTTGCAAATGTTATTGTTTTTACGTGTTTGGTAATAAATACAAATGTATGGGGGGGGGGGTTATTAATTGTGTCTGTTATTATTACATTATCCATAGAGCAGGTTGGAGAAGAGAGGATGCTGTCTAAGCTGACATATTTTACTTATCACCTGTCTAACTGACATATCATCTGTCTTTAATTGCTGTTACTGATTTGCAGCTTGCTTATACACTGTATATTTCACCAGGATCATTCACACCCCACCCCACCCCCCACATTTGTGTATATATCTCTGTACATTTTTTTATTTGTACATAAAAACTTTGGTTGTGT